CGATGCTATACACATATGTATTTTGCGAAAAAAAGTATGGAAGGATTAATATTAATAGGAAACATGTAGTATCTAATTCTTATGTAGGATTTATATGTTCTTAAAATGATATAATTTTAGAAAATCATATCATGTGGAAATAAATGATGATATATTAATGTCGTTGTTACACTTGGTTTTACAGGAAACTCCATAGAAATGCATAGTGACAATGATCAATGATTGTTGCATATTAGTACAGGAAATTGGATTATTGGTTATTATATAAGCAAAGCGATAGTGTCAGATTCTACTAAGCTCGCTGAAACTTATGGTGCGCTTGGTTATTATGATGGGCGAAAGTGTCATTTACATAATCATTGTTTAGGTAAGACTCTTAATTATTGTATGATGTAAGTTGTAAAACTTCATTGTGTTCTTACTTTATTGTAGTTATAGCAACTTGGTATTCATTTAATTAGGTTGATCATAAATCTGACAAGCTCAGTTCTCTTAAGTTATAATACAATGAAAATATGTCTATAGAGAAAAGCTGCAATGCAGTGTGTATCAGAAACTTGTTTTTTACACAACAGTACAAGGTAGCGTTGAAACTGACGATTGTGCGTAGACAGCATTGAGCAATTGCTGGAATAACATTCTAAAAATTATAAGTCTAAGAATCGCTGGTCTAAGAATATTGAATTTATTAATCGTTATAAATCAATTTACAATCATATCATTCTCAGAATTATTAATACTTGCCTAGAACGAATATCTAGAACATATTCGTTTATTTATCGTCAACCATTGTGGGATAGTTGAGAGAGAGGAGAGAAAAGAGAAATCGATTGGAAGAATCCTTATCCTCATCAGAAATGTTTTACAGCTTCTTCCAGATGAAAATGAAAAGCATGTTGATAATGATTGCGCAGGCAAGTTCCACACCTACACTACGGTTTAAACCCTGATACAGGTAAAAAGAATAAATCTCCGACTTTTTCTCGGTCACCTGTACAGATCGAGACACCTGTACAGTTTCATAAAAAGTAGAACAAAAGTCTATAAGGCTTCAAGCAAAAATCATTGTCTCGTTGCAGTTTTCATTGTGCGATAGCACCAAACTTATCCAGACTGCATTCAGAGAACCGTCCAACTGTAAGAATTTTATTATATCCATCGTTGCCCTCTAAATCCATCGCAACGAGCCGCAACAGGTTTACGAAACAGACAACTAATTCCGTTGGTCAGTCACAAGCCTGCCGAGTAGGGAAGAATCGATACAGTGAAACGTTTTTCAACGTTGAATCGGCGATTCCGCATGCCCGTGGCTCGATCGATTAAACGCTGGACAAAGAAACGATCAACCTTTACGACAACGGAATTACACAAATGGTCGGCAGCTTTCAGGCTGATGAGCCTCGGCCGTGAAGGGAATGGCATGATCGTCGTCCTAACGACCAGCTACGTGGAAAAAAATCGTCCTCATTGGCTCCTCCAGGTTCTCGCGTCGTGGTCCTTAAAAACGTCCCACATCCTAAGACCCTGTTTTTACGGAGAAACTGGCGATTACGGCGTCGCTTCAATCTACGGGTCGATCGATTAGGGGACTGAATCGAACTTGCAGAGATTAAGAAGTAGTTTCGACGGTGACCTTCTTTGCTATCCTCGTCACCTGTCCGAGGGTTTGGTTTTTGCATCGGTCGTTAGGAGAGGATCGGGACTATTCCTGGCTCTAGAGCGACATTTTTGCCGGATATAATGGAACGACGCTTATTTGACTAGCAGTTGAGTGATGTGAGGATCTACTTGGACGAATAGAGTGACGTGTTCGGAATTATTTAATGGAACGCCGCAAATAATAGTACCACTCGAAGCGAACTTGAAGGATAAGAGAATGATGTGGAATTAGATAAAAGACATTTAGTGATGGATAAGAAAGCAGGCGTTTAATATCGCTGATCGACGATATCGACGTGTAATTAATTACGGAAATTTAAACTGACTTTGTTATCTTCCTCTGGTAAATTAATCTAGCCGAGTAGTCAATCAGATTAGTATTATATATTGCAAGTAGGAGAGCACATTCCTGTTGTATTTTATGGTGTTCCGATCTTAAACCTTTGCGAAACCTTTTCGAAATGCACTAAAAATTGTACTAAAAATTGTTGTATCTCTTTCTAAAATAATATATACATTATAAATTTGTTTGTATTTCAAAAAATCACTATGTGAGACACAAAACTCAATTTTATAAAATGCACTAGGTCATATAAAATGTGAATGCTGTTTAAAAACTATTTTGGATTTAAAGTTGAACTGGCTTCGACTGGAAACGGTTAATAATTGTGATATCTTCATTTTTCTGATGTTTCTATTACTTTATATTCTATCTTCACATTTTTGTAAGAGATTCATAAATCTATGGAATAAGTTTGTATGTTGTTATTGCGGAAACAAAACAGTTTTCAGGATCGACTTTTGCTTAACAATTTTAATAAGTTAAGAAGACTATATCGGTGTCTTTGAATTCTGTTAATTTTCGTTATACGTGCATGAAAAATATCTTGGAAACGTATATCTGAGCAACCATTAGCAATTACATTATACTTATAGCACACAGTATGAAAACCAATAGTAACGGTACACATGAGAGTGGAGGACCATAAACGTAATGCAATATTTTAGAAAATCGTACAATCCTCGCATACGATTCATCAGAATTATTCGAACGTCTAGAGAAAGTAATCTAAAATTGTGGAAACTTATCGTTCAATTTTAGAGCGGATGATAGCGACTGGCTAGCGCGAAGAATTACCGTCGATCTTTCAATCTATTCCGACGATTTCGCGAATATGAAATTTTGTCTCGGAATTTATGGCGAGAATGTTATTAAGAGGCATTCCTGCTCGACGTGCATAAAACACGAGTGCACATTGAGCGTTTCCAAGCTGTATTGTCTTTCGCGAACGGCCGAACCTTAAGCTGAATCGCCGGCGTAACAACCTGATTTATCGTTGAAATTTCAACGTCAACGAGTGCAGAACGAGGGTTTGAAAAGACAGGCGGCGTGGGTGGACGGTTTCACTCCGTCGAGGAACCGGCACAGGGGGAGCCGTCATTTATGCGGCCAATCCTCCTTCGGTTCCTGTCAGGCAGCGTTCGATCACGTGAGATTGTTCACCACCCTCGAGCACGCTAATAGAAATCTACCGTGTCATATTTTATTAGCTCGGTGAAGAATGAACTCCGACCAGTTCCGCATCGCCACGAGTTCTCTGAAGAGATTCGTGTCTCCCTATGCTCGAAATTGAGGCATAAAATTCTCGTAAAAATTGGTTCATCGAGTGCGCTAATAGCGTATTCAATTCCCGTAGTTCTTCTACCGTTTTAACGATACCACGTTCTTCAATTTTAATTAAGCCGATAACAGAAGTTCTGACATCTTTGAACATTTCAAGCAGGAGCTTTCATAGGCGTGCATTAAACCAAGAAAACGTGCGTATAGAGTGTTCAACAAGTTACTACGTTCTTCTCGTATAAATTAAGAAATATATGGAAAGAATTTCATTGTTTATCGCAATCGATGTATTGAAACATGCGCGTACAATATTTAGCGCGTTTGTAGTGCGCCGAGCGTGAAAAAATGAGCTTTAATTTTCTAAATGAAATGCTACCTGTTATTTACATAGAGAAAGATTCTAATAGGTGCTGCAATGATCTTCGGGTTCATACAAAGTCAGGAACGAACAAATTTCAGAATGGAATTTCCTTTGCACCGTTTCAAAGGAACATTTTGCAAGTAAAATAAGCTGATATCCACTTTGCATCATTTTGATCTGTTCTAATATTCTTCTCGATTGTTCAATTCGTTATATTTTCAAAAAAAATCGATTTCACGTTGTCTTCCATAAAAAATTTTTCTTTACGAACGTTGTTACGTCGTTTAGAAGACAATGGAACATTTTCTTTCTCTTGTTTTCCGTAAACAGAGAAAATTCTATAAAATCGTTCCAGGTTCCATTTAATAGCAATATCAAGTGCCAATAAAAAATCAAACTCCAGTGCCGCGATTGTTATTATGTCATCCGACATTCTATCGGTTATTCACAAAATGTTTCTCGTTCTAAAAAAAAAACATCGCCGGAATCGTCCGTAACAAACAGCTCTCCGGAAAAAATAAATTCAGCGAGCAAAAGCCGCTGCGAATGTGATAAATCAACGATCTAGTACTCAGTAGATAAGACAATATTTATATTCATTTCATTCATCGGTTCACTTGCTTCATATGGAACTGCGAAAATATAACGAAATAAAACGTAGTCTGTACGAAGTCCACAAAAATTTATGGAACTGTTGCAATAAGCTCTATACGGAAGACAATACTCAATACCAAAATAGCTGAACTTTCTAAAGGAACACGTCTAAATTATAAATATTTATTGCAAGCTAGTACTGTTCTCCCGGAAAAAGGATTTCAGACAACACGTTTGTGCAATAAACGAATGACCATCGAATTCCCATCGATCAATCTACATGTTGTCACATGGACAACATAATAGAATGCTTTCGATTTCGATGTCAAACATTGGTCTAATCCACGAGGACTTGTTTAACAAAATACGGTTATCATGTTCGTGCGAAATTGTCATGTTCGACTCGTTTCAAACAAAAACACGTTAACGTTCACAACTTTCTGCCGCATGGCAGAGTTCAAGGTGTTCCAGCTTTTTTTAAAACCAAGATATCGGATACTTTTTATACCACCTCGAAAAACAAAAATCACTCGAAGCACATCTTCGTGCTAAACTCCGCGCACTCGTTATAGTTGTTAACTTCGCTAGGCGGATGTAACGTCGGCTTTTTTATTTTCCAAAATTCCGCTCACCAAAGTGATAACTAAACCGTGACTCATTTTCCGCGTATAAATTCCCGGCCCGAAAGCCGGCTTCCCGTGGCGAAAAACCGGTTGTTCCCCAAAAAACCAACTAAACCGACTTCCAAAAGCCGGCAATACTCACCCGTTGCCCCTCACGCCGGATTCGCCTCCCGGTCCGCTGCCGTTCTAACAAACAAAAAAACAAGTTTATTAAAAAACAAGCCTAGTAACAGTTCGAGGAAAACGAAACGGAGAACGCGCGTTCGCGCGAACGATGGCGCAGGCGTACGAAAAAATATTGTATACAGTCTTTGGAAACGCGTGGCCACGGGACCGGAAGAGCGTGTGCTCCCCGCGGATCCTGCAGCGCCCGTCAATGCGGAACCGTGCGGGGCGTTAATCACCGCGGGGATGCCTCTTCCTTGTTCCCGTGGCCGCGCACGCACAATGCTTTGCCCCGTACACAAATCAGTCTCTTTTCGTCGACTTAAGGGTTAAGAAAAGCTCGGATGAAACGGAGAACCAAGCGCAGATCAGGGACTCCGGAGGACATCGGACGATGGTTACGATCCTCCCGTCGGACCGGAAAAAGGTAGTGGATCCTCGTTGTTTCCAGGACTAGCCGGTCGCTAGCCCGCACAGTTGTTCACTCGGATCAAGAGCTTCTTTTCTGCGGCTTTCTCTCCGTCACCCTGTCCTTCCTCCATCGTACCCGTTTTTGCCGGTAGCCGGAACTGGACACGGCCCAGATGAGCCAGCGATTCGACCGGTTTAGCCTCCTCCCGCCGACAGGTACACCGTTTTTCTCGTCCGTTAATTTCCGTGGGCGGCTCTCTCCGTGGCGGTCGTTAATCAAGGGCCTCGGAGTTTGTTTTACGGAACGCCGCGGTCGAAGGATTCCCCCGATTTATCGGAAAACGATAATCTTGTACCGTGACGGCGGCGAGCCGGCGAACATCTCTTCAGCCTCGTTCCGATTCGAGTATTTCCTTTCCGAGGAGCTTTCCCTCCCCCCGATTGAAATCGATCGTTCTTCAGCTCTCTGTCTCGTTCCACGCGTTCCCGCGTTTCTCATTTTCGCGGCAATTCCGCGGCAATTCCGCGGCCCCTGAAATTCTGTTTCCCGTCGAATCGCGATCACCGGCGCTGTGCCCTTCGTCGCCGTTTCATTGATTTCCTCGTGTTCGCGTTTTGTACTCGCCTGCGCCTCCTCTCGTTCTCTCTCGTTCGCCCGGCGTCGCACGGAGAAATGGAAGATTGGAGACAGTGTGTAACAGCCCGTATAAATATAATATCACGTACAATACTCGTAAATTCTGTCACGATAGAGATACAATATAAACTTACGGATAGCGTAACAACTATTTAAGTATTTAGAGTTAGAGCCGCAGGTATCTTCGTCCCATTATACGCCATCTTCGTTCTCCGTTCTTGCCCATCCCCCGCCCCTCCCCCCCGTTTCACCTTGCTTGCCCCCCGAATTCTCTCACTCGTTCGTGCGAAACGGTCTCGCGGTACACGGGCCTTCGATTCCTCACCCGAGAAGAAGAAGCTTAGACAACACCGGAGCATCACGATTCTCGCATCAATGTATCTTAGATTCGTTCTGTTCGTTTTCTTCGCCTTTCTCTTTTTTTGTTGTTTACGCCTGTTTTTATTCACGTGCAGCCACGAGCTGCGCGCACGCGAGGGCGTCTATCGGTCGAACCAAGCACGATCCGTCGTCGAATCGTTCGGACGCGGACATCGGAAACGAAAGCCTGACGTGAGATACGCAACGTATAAAGTATGTCATAAAAATGTATCAAAATAGAATATGTATCATTAATCATAACAATAATAATAATATAATAATAATAATAATGTAATAATAATAATAATGTAATAATAATGATAATATAATAATTATAATAATGATTAATAATAATTATTATTATTATATTATAATAATTAATAATAATAATAATAATGTATCATAAACATGTATCACGAGGAACTAAAGTTTGACAGAGAAAAGAAATACGTGAAGGGAGGATTGATCGAATGTGTATATTTCCATTGAAATAGTAATGTCTAATAGTAATGTCAAAAATTATGAGAAATCTGTTAAAACGAAACATGCGAAAAATTATGAGAAATGTATGGAAACAGGATACTAAAGTAAAATATTACGAAGACACGAAATGAACGATAGCGTTCGATGAATAAATACATAATACATGTTATAAAAAATTTGTCGGAAACCCGAGTGTTGAAACAACGTAACGAAAAAAATGTAAATAATGTAATAAATGTATAAATGTAATATGTAATATGTAATAAGTAATATGTAATATTAATATATAAAAGTAAAATGTAACGAAGAGACAAAGTAGATAATTTGTGCAGTTGACGCAGATTTATTCCTTTATTAGTGGAACAGGAACGAAATGGATATGAAATGTCGGACAACAATGAACTGCCATTTTAAAGAGCATGAATACATTTCGCTCGCACAAAGGGCGAACGAAATAACAATGCAAGAATTGATTGAATTTATTTTCCCACATTTTTAATTTTGTCCTTCTTCAAACCTTCTGGCTTATTAGATGGAGAAATGTGTGATGTTAGCCGAAAAATAATATTTGGGGTTTTGTAAAATAATCACGCTACTCTTTTGTGGACATTTTTAAACATTGGATGTACAAGCGATTACATTCGATCAAAACGACGAGTATAGTCATCCGAGAAAGTAGGAATCTACGACGATTCTTACACTTGTCAACACACAAAAACGCGTAAAAACCCTTTAGACTTGAAAAATATTCGCGTGAAAATTAAAAAAATTTAACAGAACGATCGCGATTCGGGTATCGCGGAATGGTCATCGAATTGGAAGGATGTTCGACGTCCTGTTTCACCGTTAATTAGATCGATAAGAAAACTCGCGCAATTATCGCGGCTCTGTTTTTGCATAGCTGGGCCGAATGCAAAATTAATTCGACGTTCTGTATTTTCATAATGCCAACCGGCAGCGTAAATTAATTCCGAATGCGTCTATTTAAATGCGTTAACGTTTCTATAGGACGTGAGGAAATTAAATCCGCGTCGCAAACAAATGGCGTGGGCGTTTCAGCGGGAATCGTGCCGCGAAATTTCACGTGCCCCAACGAAATTCGAAACGTACTACGAAGAAATAGTTGCCGTCTCGGTCTCTAAACTGAACTATTAACGACAACAACTAACGAAAACAATCGAACAAACCGAAACGTTCGGTGTTCGGCTAAATATTGTCCCTACAAATTAAATTGTGTTTCTCTGTTACAGCCACGCGTTGCTTCGCGTTGTTGGAATAATATATTCGTACGTACAAATTAGTTTCGTTAAAACCGTTTTCCAATACACTCGTTAAAATAATTCCATCGAATAATAATAATAATAATAATAATAACTGAATCGAATAATAATAACGATCATATAATAATAATAATAATAATAACGTCACAGCGAAGTCAGGTATTCCAGGAAATTATGGCAGCCGTTCGACGCGCGTAGACGCACTCGCGAGCGAGTGAAGTTATAACCGACTAGTTATCATATACGTTACATATCTACGTGGAATAGCATCGCTTCGCGAGTATAATTCTGACAAGCGTTTACTTAACAACGAAAATATCGTGTACTTATGCGCCGCTAACAAGTTGTCCGATATCTATCGTGTTTTAGGCCTTAATAACATACTTCCTTTAAATTCGCTTAAACGCTAAACGCCGCACGATCGGCGTCGCTAAATTCACGCCTACGATCGTGCGAAGCCCTACGGATCCCGTGTTCGTCGATCTATACTGTTCCCCACCCCCGTCGTCCCGATGATATAAATGCTTACAAATGGAAAACCACACAGATGATATGAAAAACCGTGCGATAAAGATGGCCGCTCTGCCGAGACGCCGCGACGTGTTCGCGTCCGACGACGCGCGCAGGACATAACAAGGAACATCGATATTGACTAATCATTAATATCATCGTTCGGCGATACTTCTGACAGGGCCGACACCGCCCAGCGTCGGTCCCCGGTCTCGGTCTCCGAGGTTCGAGATCGAACCACGAATACGGCCGCCGTCGTTTGGCAACCGCCATCGCGCACCGCCATCTTTATCTTCCGTACCCGTTTCTGAAAATTTGTTTACACCTTATTCGCTGGCGTCGCGGCGCCTCGACGAGGCGTTCGTACGTTTAAGCGTCGGGATCGTCGTTCGTCTGCGCTCCGGCGGTTCCGCGATCGAGGATCCAAGGGGAGATCGTTGCTTGCTTCGCAATCGAAGGACAGCGATGCGCAGTCGTTTCCGAAGCAACGGAACTACGGTATTGTCTCTCTGTCAAAGATGGACAATTTGGGAGGAGGAGATCCGATTATCCGAGCCTTGCGGTTCATTTTTATAGCTTTCGAATTGTCAATAACTGTAAGGCTCGAATAATCGTATCTCCTCTTCCCAAATCGTCCACTTTTGTGCGCAATCTGAGCGCGAATCAGGGAGAAATTACCGTAAATGCCCGAAACACTAAACACGCTCTTACGGGCCTGATATACGAGCCGCGACGCGTTAAGCGGAACTGCAAAAAGTGTGTCCTATCGAGGCGAATTGATATTTATTAGGGTTACCGTATCGAGAAAACGTTTCATTGAGTTAGCCCGCGCGGCGCAGTTAATCGCGATTTAACGACGGATAATGACGTAATAATTTTGTACAGTGTGCACGGCGATCGATCGTCCCGGTGACCATTACAACCGGTTGCACTATAATAAACGCCGGCAATCACCGCGGAGGGTACGTAAACCGGAGATCGTTAACTCGTCTTTCGAGGTAAAGCTAAATGAAAACTGACTCGCGATCCAGCCTCCCGTCTTCTCTTCTTTTTTTCTCCTCTGTTGTTTTTTTTTCTCTCTTTATGACCGTTCCACCGTGCCGTTTAACGTCCAATGAACATTTAAATTACGTTTTTACGCCGCTCGCGCCGCCGTATACGCGTAACATCGATGACTACACCGTGTTGTAACACGGCCTTCTCCCGTGAAATTACGCGGACGATGTAAACGGCCATGGTAGTCGATAATCTCGAAGATTTCCGCCGGTAGAGACGACGATGGTCGTCGTCGGCGATCAGTGCGCGTCGCGCGATCCCAATTAATTTGTGATCGTTGATCT